TTATTGTTTATAATATATAAACCTTTTGTATTAAAACATACATAAACACACACAACTAAAAAGTGTTATTTTAACTTTATAATTGAGTGTTGTGATTTCTTAAAAAACAAAATTCCTAAAATGAATCAATTTTTCAGGCTAACTTACATTTTAATGCAAACTGTATTTTTTTAAATATCTAACAGCAACTGTGTTCTATTATCTTTCAATAGCATCATTTATATTTTAAGAACAACGATTGGAATGATACACATTGCGATCGATTTGTGTTCAACGAAAAAAAAAGCGTCTCGTTGCCAAGGACGTTCAGTGCAGGAACTCTCGCAGGAACAAATTTAGATTAAGGACAGGTGCTTTTCAATTTCGTTCACCGATAAACACACACATAAATATTTCTGCTTCACTTCTTTTTTGCAAGTCTACATTTTACCGCTGGATCTGACGACCGGCCTTGGGGCAACGGCAAAAACGAGATAGTATGTAAATAATTAATTAAAAACAATAACCGATGTATAATAATAGGAGCTAGATAGATCCAGAGTCAATCAAATTAGAGCGGAAATCTTAATTGGGATATTTTTTTGTTTGCGCATAGATGGATTATGTAATTCATTGTTTTTTAGCAGTACTGGCAATACGGAAACTGTTGGAAACAATCGAAAAATATTTTATTGTTTGGTGATTGTTGAATATAATTTATGGGGTTAACAACCTAAAAATTATTATTGTTGTCGTTGCAAAAACACAATATGATGTAGTTAATTATATTTTCAATACAAATATTTTACAAACGTTTTCAAGTCTAAAAATATGTTTTTGTGCGGTAGATTTCATAAATTCATAATATAACTAATAACTATTGTACAAAGTTATTAGTTATAGTACAGAAATTTAGCACTTAGAAAATACATCTAATATTTTCGAAATACATGATTAAGTGTATCCAAACAAAATAAATAATTAAATAACACAGGGAAACATTTTAAAAACATTTAATTTTCAAAATGCACATACATAATTCTACTAATACTAACATAATCGTTTCAGCAGGCTGTACATATGCACACTGATAGAAACATTGCAATGGTGCCAACGCCGTTGAAATTCATATACCGGATTAAAAATATAGCACAAAAAAATCTCACAAAAATAAAATCGCAAAAAACACGATAATTATCATGTCTAAGTTATATACTAACTAACTTGATACTATAATTGAATTTCCGGTTTGTAAACAATCCCGATTTAACAGTACATGTAAAATTAATTTAATTCTTTAAGAAGGATATAATATTTTACATCTATAACATTTATTAATACATTTAGTGTGAACATTTACTCCAATCATTTATCATTCTTTTCCCAAAAATATTATTACTTGTGAAAGATATTGTCTGTTAAAATAATGATATCTTAGTACAATATTTTCATAATTTATATATTATTGTTTTAGATATGATCATTTTTATTTTTTTTTTCATTTGTCATTTCTATATATTTTTGATAAAGAAAAAGAAAGTGTTGGTCAGACGATTGTTTTAAATATACAAATTATAGTTTTGATATACCTGACTTGAAATCTATAGATTCACTAAAAAAATACTGTTATTTAGTACTTATATTTAGAGGAACATAAGACTTTAACAGGTAAACATTTTAGTAGATATTATATTTGTATATTTTAATTAAGATTATCTTAATTATTATATTAAAGAAAAATCTAAATTTTAGAAAAGTCGATAACCATTTGGTCCATAATAAACTAATAAATAAATAATACTCAAAGAGTTAGAGTAAATTTATGAAAATATATGATAAACGGATACTATTTGCTATGGGAATATTTCGCATTAAAATAATGTCCAATTAGATTTACATGTATTAAGCGTTAAACAATTAAAAGAGTTGAAAAAAACACGATTCAACGGACAATCGCATATTTCTTGCGTGTAACTAGAATTGCATTAAGTGAATTCTAATTAAGCCTTTATTATCGCTATAACGTAATATTTTTTTCCACATGGGTTAAATGCACATCGAGCACACATCAAATGAATTGTCGAGGTAATAATCATAGGAGGTTTCCCAATTGCAATGGACATGCGAAATTTAAATTAATACCGGCCGGGTGAGCGGACCTTAGCAAATTTGCCTGCGTGTATGTCTGTTTTATGTGTGAATGTACGACCGGTGTATGATTAAGTCTGTGTTTATGTGTGACGGTGTGAGTGTTTCTATTGCAAAAGTGTGTCACGTTTATTATTTTCTTTTTTCGTGTGGATATGTGTGTGTGTGTAGTCGGCTAGTTATATTCGATTATATAATACCGCGGCAATTAATAGAACCGAAATATTAATAACATGGTGAGTGAATCGAAGAGTTCAAAGAAAGTTCACTCACTGCATAATCGAATTAACCGAGAACCTATAATCTCGATGAATCTTTACGTTCCTTTTCTTTTCAATCTTCTTATGTACATTTATTTACATCATTATTCTTCCGCGAACGGTAATTCTAAACCGGCGAGATTTAAAACTACAGATATGGTGATTCGTGCCCAATAAATGCATAACGTAATAAGACACAATTATGTATTTTTCGTATCTCCAATTTCGCTCTTTACACTTTTTATTCCGCACTTTTCTTTCCGCATATAAAAAATAATATTTTCGAATCATTTATTTCGGAAATTGTATTACTGTCATAACAATACGTAACAAATTTAGTCATTTAGTTTTGCAACTATGAAAATGTAATGTTAAATGTTATTACCAAAATATATCTACAACATACATAAAATAATATTAATTCGTTAACAAGTATTATATTTTTCTTTCAAATATAAAACTAAATGTAAATCATTTTTATTTAAAAAAATTAGTATACCGCAAACCTCATGTAAATTATAAACAATAATATATATATATATATATGTTATAGTAAACGTACACAATCGATAAATGTATACATTTCCCGGTAAATCACATATATTTACCGATCTTGTAGGTAACAGCAGCAGCGTCATATATCTACTTTTACCGATAAATGTTTACATCTACCTACGTATATCGGTAAAAGTTGAAAATAATAAATACGAGATACACTTGTTGTATAGCAATACCTAACTTAACCTTTGAAATCGCTGTGGCTCTATTGTTTGGAGTCTCCGCAAAGGCATTTGATGGAATTATTTGACAAAAGCAGTGGATGCAAGAGAGATATCTCGAGGGCACGACATTTCCCGGAAATAGTGGGTGAATGTAAGTTGAACATACATTTACCTACAAGATCGGTAAATGTACTTTTACCGTGACATATACATTAAATTTATATATTTATCGACTTGATATTACAACAATTAATTATTTTTGTACAATAAAACCAATATTTGTATAGTAAAAAAATATTAATACCAATTCCATGCAATCATAATATACTATTAAATAAGATATTAATAGTAGATTTAAACCATAACTTGACCATTTTTTATGATTTATAAAATACTGAATTACGACACGGTCGCAATTGAATGCGCATTTCCTTTGCTATACGATTGTAGGTCAATATTATTATTATTATTACCAACAACCAAAAGTAATGCGTGTATAATGTGAAGAAATAAAAAGTAACGCCTAGTTAAGATGAATGTTTGCGGTTTAAATGAATTGAACGATAGTGTGTATAGGATGAAAAGAAAAGCATATGTCGAACTCTCTTTTGAAATTAATATTATATTGTACAGAGAAATTGGCTTAAATTTCTCACGTTACATATGCTTTGAATAGAAAACAAATTGCACCTGTCTGCTCTATCGCATATGCGAAATGTATAAAATATTATACAGCGATTTGATATACTCAGAAAATGCGAAACGCAACGTCGACCTATAAATTATTCTAAATGAAAATTGCAAAATTAAGAAATATATATATATATATATATTTACCTAAATTTTTATATGTTTATATTATTTAAATGAAAAAAAAATCTAAATAGTTGACATTAATTAATTAACAAATTAATTAATATATTAATAAAATTTCTTATTTTATAAATTAGTATCATATGTACAATATTATTATAAACCGAAGTATGAAATAAAAAAAAACATCTAATTTTTTTGTAAATGAATGTAAATCAAAATTAAAAGACTGAAAGATTTACCATTAATTATTATACTTACTCTTTTCACTATTGTTTTCCAAAATATGTAGGGTATTCCTTCAATAATCGATAGACTAATTATTTAAAATGTAAATGTGATTTTTGCTAAGACTTGTTATAGTCTTTATATAATTAGATTAACAATATTTATTGAAACTTCAGGAATACTATAAAGTATTTTGTCGCAATATTTATCCACAAAATTTTGTTTCTTTATAATTGATATTAAATATTTCGTTCAAATTCTAAAAGTCGTAAAACCTTTAAATTTTGACAATATTATTTATTAATATTAATATTTTAGAACTTAAATTATCAGTTTTTGCAAATAATTATGAATTAAATCTAACAATATTAAAATATAAATAGAATATCTATCACTTCCTTAATATTTTGACATTTTCTACTATAAAAAGAAACACTAAACAATACTTAAAATATTTCTATTATATTTTTTTTTTCAAGATATTAATATATTATAATTTTAAACAAAATGCGATATTAAATCAAATAAATTAATAATTAATATAGGTATAATTTTTTTATATATGTGTTTGTACACTCACTCATATAAATAATCTGTGAGTTATAAAAATCATTCATATACAAATTCATTTAAATTTTATTTAATACAAATTATATTACATATATTCTTATTCGCAATTTTTAGTTTTTGAAAATATTTTTTTTCTTTACTTCCAAATTCTAAAAGATTTTGAAAAATAAGATGCAATTTCGAATTATATGTAAATTTTTAGAAAATAAAAATGCAATTACATATTTTTTAGTAATGAATTTTATATATGTATTGTATCTAAAAATGTTGCTGGACTTACCGTGTTCTACTGCTGGCACCACGTCCTGGTGGTGGACCAATGGTCGAAGATACTGTTCTAGGGTTTCTTAACTGACCACTTTGGGTTTTGTTTTGCGCGGCGGCGGCCGCTATAACGGCACTTGTTCGGGGTAGTTTTGGACTTCCCTTCGGCGTCTCTCCGGGGGCGGCTGCCGCGTCGGTGGCGGCGGCGGCGAAGAGTGCAGCCGCGAAACCCACGAGCAGGCACCAATCGGCACCCCTCATGTTTCTAAAAACGCACTGAATCACAGGGAAGTCACCAGGAAAGAGTCTTTCAAATATTCGTCTCTGAAATACGTCGCGAAAACCTCGCGATCGTTAATTTTTACTCAATATTTTTTTAAACAATAATAAAGGAATTATTTATTTTAATTTAATATATTATTATTATTTATTATATGCCGGAGCGCACAGCACCTGTTTTTTTGTGGTGTCGGTGTTTCCTCTGTGGTCTGAGCTGAATGGTCGGAGTGTGTGTGTGCTACTGACCAATCTTACCGGCCAGACGTACAAACATACACTTAAAGACTTTAAAGACTTTCACTCACCATAGCCACTCTTGGGTTTAATGTTATGGCGGTATGACTATGGGCTATGTGTGTGGTGTTGTCGAGAGATATGGGCCTCGGTGCAAATCAGAAGGGAATCACACCACCTCCGCCACCGACGGTCCCCGGTCTTTCTTCACCTCATCATAGGTCAATGAGCCGCAAGTTCATTCAACAGATTCACCGCAAAACGTTCATTTCATATCCGATTCCGCAAATACTTTACATTCATTTTCGATTGCACCAACATTACAAATGTATGCATTTTTCATCACGTAAATTGTCACAAATTAATACTAAAGCATTTATTCATTAATTAACTGAAATTTATGAATTTTTATAGAATATTTTATAAATTGATCTTTTCTAAAAAAAAATCTATATAAGCTTTCAAATATCTATCTGGCTGTATTCAGTTAGAATCCAAAATATACAGTTAACGCTGTTCTCATACAACCCGTTTAACAAATTGAAAATTTATTTCTGACATAAAAACATAGGTCAAGACTGCATTACCTAACATATAGTTAACACTAATATAACTCACTCCTTATATTGGGTTGGTACGTTAATTTAGTGTGCAAACGTTGACGTCCAGTGAGTGGTAAATAGTTAGGTGGAAGTGGATATTTGATAATAATAATTGTAGCTACATTTTGTATTAAGTTTATTTAATTTTGATATATACTTTTTGACTTTTTGTAGAGTAATTTTGTTGAGCCGGGGGCGTGAAAATATTATTATATTTTTTTTATGTTTTGATATCTTTACAAATCGAAATGGTTTCTAAAATTCTAGGTTTATGATTTCTACACTATAACAAATATTCAATCATTTGCTTATTTTTCAAAAAAAAAATAATTACTGACAAAGCATTTTTTGTTTATTGCATTTCGCATCTGCGCAATACATTGCCATGAAATATTTCTAAATGATAAAAAATAAAATTTCGCCAAAAAACATCTTAATTCGAAACCAACTAAATTTACCTGTGCAAGGAAATCAACACAACATATTTTCCATGCGATATAAATTAGAGGTAATGAAAAAGAAACTTCGTAAATGGATTCGAAGAATAAAATCAAATGTTTTTGAAAGTTTTTCAAATTATTCTCAAATGATTGCAGATAATAGCAAATTTGTTAAAGAACACATAATTTATTTAATTAAATATCATCTCCAAATAATTGGCAATAAATATTATTATTTAATATTCCAGATATTAAATTGTATAATGTATTTCTAAATATAAATAAAATATCAATTTCGCCAGTATTATAAACAAAAGAAAGTGAATAAATATAAGATTACAATTCTCGCATGGTGTGCAGTCACCTTTAAAACTAAAAACCCTTGTAAATTTACTAATATCCATATATAGGAAACCTGTATTTTTACAAAACTATTTCTGTATTTATTCTATATTTCTAATGAAAGTGTTGTAGGAAACTGGTTTTTATATTTTAATTTTTTAACAGATTAGCGAGAAGTGCTAACGGACTGCCATTGAACGCAGTAAAGTAAATTTATTTTTAACCCTTATCCATGTATCAATTCATATATTTATTTTTATTATTAACACTAATTGAAAATAGCAAACAATAATTAAATTAATACTATTAACATGTAAGAAAAACAGATTGTTTAGATCAGTTTTGAGTAAACTAGGAGCATATGCAAAAATGTAACATGTAATTAAACATTGAAAATATAAAGAAATAATCTGCGAAAACTTATGTGTAGATTATAAGAATATATCTTAATTTTAATGTAGAATTTGAACTAATATCTCTAGCACTAAGTGAAAATACAAATGCTTTTATTCATCATAAATCAACTTTTTTAGAACAAATATTTAAAATATCAAAATTTCTCATCAAAATCAAATTCACGTCATAATTCAAGTATATATTAAACAATGTCGAAACTTTAATTATTTTAAGCCATTGTAATTATACTACTGATAATAAAGTAATAGAGTTACTTATATTTAACTGAATGTGAAATATAAAAAATAATAATCTTTATTGCAACAGCTAAAATTAAACATGTTTATTTGAACTCAATAATAATAATAATATAACAAAAAGACTAGCTGCTACAAAGTCATACTTTGTAACAGTTGATCTATCTTCCCAAATATAAATCTGATTATATGAGATTTAACCTTTCAATAGTCTCGTTGCATATACGAAATATATACTTATTAAATTATATTTATATTTAAATACAAATTTAGTTAATAAATATAAACGATTCTTAACTTTTGTTATTATTTTTCTGAATCTTTAACTAAAATAGAAAATGTAAAAACACATGTATCAATCAGAAATATATTAGAGTGACTCTGAATAAATTTTAATATAAATAAGTGTCTGCCGTATCTGCTTGGCGAACATTAAATATTACATGATAGATGTTACAATAACGCATTATCTCAACGGTTCGAAATGTTCGCCAGCCTGGTCAAGGTTCTGCTGACATCGTTGCAAAATTAAATTACAATTGTCAGCAAATGATTCCATTGTAATTGTGTGTTACATACTTTGAAGTGCTTGTCTCAACTATGCAAATGTGACATAGACTCCACGTATTATTAAAAAGTAATGTATACTGTGAAATTAAGTTATTAATCATGATAGTATAGCTACTTTCCATATGTTGATTTAAAAAAATATGATTATAATATACAACTAAGCAATTTGACACTTAAACATTTACATATGCACTATCTCATTTAATAAACATTTCATCCCATATAATACAAAAAAATGTCAATAGGATTAAATTATTATATAACATATTTCAGTATACTAAAACAAATAATTGGTTAAAGTTATTTGTTTTAGTAAATTTTCTTTCTTTATACTTTTGTTTGCTTCCATATTACACAGATTTTATGAATTGCATGATTAATACTAAGTAAAGTAATAAAGATGGTTACTGATAAGTATCCCAACTATAAGATACTTAAACTTACTTCGACGTATTTTTTTTTGATATTTTTTTTTCTATAACTTTATAATATAGAGTGTTTCATTAAGAGTTTAACGATTTTTTATATTAATAAAATTACACAGAGTAACAAAATGCATCTTTTAACTTTATTCTATTTTTATTACACAAATAATTCACATGTCTACTCTACATAGAAATTGGAACACCCTTTATAATTAGCTAACAAATTGTAGTTAATTTATAATTTATAGCAAACATAAAATTATAATAAAGTATATGTGAAATTGCACTAATTTTCGAACTAAATGGTATACGAAGATTTCTAAAACTGTATAGATAAGTATATGGATGTCAAAATAGGTATATAAGATTATATTTTTGTAGCTACTGACGATTTGACCGTTATTATAATCCAAAATATAGCTTCTACAAGGGCTAATTGAACATTGGTCTAAGTCATATGTCGACATTCCACGGAGTCGCATAAGCGTAGTCATACATACGACTCCCTGAAATGGATCATTAATCCAAAAAGATTGACCCTTTAGATCACTGTCTGCCAAACTATGTGCCGAGATTCCATGTGTACTTCGAAACATTTTGAAATACAGGTATCACTCCCGGACTTACGAACAAAATTTTAAAAGCTTTAACATATATAATGATAAAAAAATAAACTGTCCAAACAAAAATTGATAATTTCTTTAATAAAATGTTGCATTTGTTTCTTTTGTCGTTTTTATTAAATAATTGTGATGTCTAGTTAAAGGCTAGTTAAAGCGGTGCAATTAATTTGTAATACTTTTGTGTACTTTCCCTATATAAAGTAGGATAGATATGATTTATTTTTCTAACCTCGGTTCATCTACGTTTAAGAATTCATAATAAAAAGTAAAATAAAGTAAATGCGATGGAATTGTGCATGCCCTGCAAATGCTGAATTTGTGTCTAGGGTGACCAGTTTCAAATAACGCAAGAACAATTTCAAACCCACTTTGATAAATCTATTTAATTTCCTTATATAGTGGACACCATAAATTTATTATTGGACCGATTCGTCGATAAACCGTTTTATATAACGCAAATGCGGGAGATCGATACACTCGCATTTATTATTTTTGAAAATTTTACGCAAGAATTCGAGTTGCGCAAGTATACGAGTCGAGGAGGAGCCGTGCAGCTGCACAAGCTGAAATTAATCCTGGCCTTTTAAGTGTTACTTGTGAAGGGACGTCTAGAAAATGATCTAGTTTTGTCCTAAATATTCAAGAAATAAATTGTGGCTGTCGGACGTTGCGCAACCGATACAACAGTGGACAGGTACAATAAGCGAGGAAACTGGATACATACATACACATTGTGGGAATTTAATTACGGCCAACGATATGATTTTCTTGGTTTCGTTTTCATTTTGCTCGTTTCTTTCAAAGTTATTCGATCGAGTTTTGTGTAGCCTGAGGACTAGGCGTTATGGGGAATAGGAATTCGAACGCAGAAGTGGCCTGGACTGGACTCGACTGGACGCAAGTTAAAGAACTCTCGCAGTATGTGGCCGTTCCGTTCTAATTTATACAAAGACCACTCGGCCAAAGCAAGAAAATGCCATATATACAAACGCTCACACGCCGACACTAGGTGCACGAGAACGGCACAAATTTATTTTCTGCACTGTAGTACGGATTTGGCTCTGTGCTGCATCGAAATTCATTCCGATGGTAATACGTTCAATAGTCGTTGTTGCAATCGATTGAGAACTGCTATAAAAAGTATACAAAGGCCCCAATTCGTACGGCGAATATAATAAATTGTGTAAAGAGAGTGAACAAAATTGAATAAAAAGCGAC